CTTTTGTGAGTGAACAATTAATGTATTGGTCTATTCACAATGGACAGTCATTTCAAGAATAAAAGATATTTTCATGTACAGATAATAGCATGGGGAAAAAGTATTTGAGTTTGTTTCCAACTAATGAGTCATCTCGCTCTCCGGATATGACAATATTGCCATATTCCCTTGAAATGGTGAGTTATTTTTTAATCAAACTTGAGATTGATTCCATGCATTTAACTTTGGCAACAACATTGTGACTATATTATCATTACACATTGAGGTTCCTTTATAATACATGTTTCTGTGCGTCCGTCATGCATTTGTACGCCAGAGAGAAAATGTGTGCGTGCGTTTGTGTCAGCGTAAATATGTCCGGGCCCTGCCGCAATCATTCTGAGGTGTACTGACATAGAAGGAAGGGATAAAGAGGATGAATACGCTCTCAAGGGAAAATAACACCTCTTTCTCTCCCTCCTCAATCTCTATATCTCCATCGCTACCTCCTCCTCTGCGTGATGACAGGAAGAGCTGGTCTCCTTATGACAATGAGAGGCAATTCTTTTCCCCATCATCCAGCTCCTTGACTCTGTTTGTGCGCGTCTCTTTGTGTTTGAGTGGTCTTGTGCGTCTGACTGTGCATACGCTCTCTCTGCCCATCAAGTGGCATGGGAAAGCAATTCTTCCCACGGAGGAACAATTGAAAGGCTTTTATGCTAGATACAGAAATGAAAACGAGAAAAATAGAATGTCCCATGTACCCACAAATGTCCTGGGTCTCATGGGTTTAATTATCTAAATATATTATGAAATATGGTAATAAAGGTTAGACTGCGTTAAAAGCAATGGAAGGAGTCTGAAAATCACATGAAGACAAACTTCAATTAACCATACGTGTTCCAACTGTATTCACACTATCTGTGTTTCATTTTCACAAAGAGAAAATGAGAATGTGAAGTATGCTTAACTGGGTGATGAAGGTAAAGAAATTGTATAATTGGGTATACTGACAACTCAATACAAACAAAACAATGAATTGATAACACTTTAAAATAAGCATATTGTGTTAAAAGTTTCGTATTTGAGATAGTGGCAGCTCTTTAAAGTTGCAGTTTGATATATTCCTTCACAAACAGCCAACCTTGAATTCTCATTGTAATATCGCGAACATACAAGATGCATAAAAAGCAAAAAAACGCAACACAACACAGAGAACAAAGGAGGTAGACAGTGAAGTCTGCCTCATGTCCACTTCTTTCATTGCATCCAATTTGAGCTTTTCTAGACCCTCTCCGTATTTCCCTTTGCTCTCACCTCTTACTACAAAAAATGTCCATGACAGTGTGTGCATGTGTGTATGTGACACAGGCAGAAAGGAAAAAGGCTCACACTGAAGGGGTATGATTATCTAACATCATGTTGTTCAGCTGCCTCACACACACTCACATTCCCTTTTGCCATCTATTAGGAAATGTTCAAAGTTCACATTTTCCATCCCTGAAATAGTTCCTTGTCTGATTTTAAAACGTCTCTATTTTTGAGAAAATATGTTCCCTCTATGTGTGGGTGTGTTTGGATGTGCTGTATGTGTGTGCCTGCGAGTGTGTGTGCGTCTCGAGCGTGTGTGATATATGAGTGTACGCCGGAGTGAGTCAGCGAGCCAGTGAATGAAACCAACAAGGAGACACAAAGAGAAATACACTCACAAAGAGCGGGGAGAGAGAGAGCAGTGTAGAGAAGAGACAGGGTGTGTGTGTGTGTGTGTGTGTGTGTGTGTGTGTGTGTGTGTGTGTGTGTGTGTGTGTGTGTGTGTGTGTGTGTGCGTGCATGCGTGCGTGCGTGCGTGCGTGCGTGCGCGCGTGTGCGTGCGTGCGTGCGTGTGTGTGTGTGTGTGTGTGTGTGTGTGTGTGTGGTGCGTCAGTTATTTTTCATCAGTAATTATTAATGCTCTGTATGGCCTGAGTAATGGTGCATAGTGCTACAGGTTAGCAGTGTGCTGCAAAACACGCACCACACACAGAATGGTGTTGGGTTTCTTCCTGCTTTTGACACAGAGTACAAGCAGGTCACATGGCTTTTCCACATTAAAAAAGGGCTACCTCTAGAAAAGCTAAAAGCATTAAAGTGAGCTACTGAACAATGAGGTAATCAGTTGAAAAGTATTTCAATGCGTGTGCTTGTGGTCTCATAATGTCAGTGATTTCACAATTCTAAATGACACCGGCCAGCCAATCATAAATAAGCATTTTCCTTGGACATGGACCCATACAGATATTGATATTTGACAAAAAGTTCCTATTGAAAAATACTGTTTGGTTATTTTATGGTCACCAAGGTATACAGTATGTACTGAGCGGGACTGTTGAAAAATAAATTGTCATCAATCTCTTGTAGGCTAACTAAATCAGTGTCATTGGTATTTCAGTATTGCATTTCTATTTTATTTAAGGCCTGTAAGCTGATAACACTTTTTTGTTGAAATATCCAGCTATAGATTTAAAAGATTAGTCATATATGCTGCATATGTACTAAAAGGAAATAAAAGGAAAATAATGTGATTACTCTGACACTAGCCCTCAAATATCAACAATGCTTGCAGTTGAAGTTTATAAAAAATATGATATATAAAAATGGAACTTATGAGTTGAATAAGTATAACTTGCAATAGCATCTGTAAGGATTTCCCAGGCCCAATGCCCTCAACAGCCCATGAGAAAACCACCTACCGAGTCATGACCCCCCGGTAACGACATATTTCTGATGCTCAACGTTTGAACAAACCATCAATGACAACCTGGAGGCGACCTGGATGATGAAATAACAGAGTGATGCAATTACAATGAAATGCAGTAACATGAAAATAGAAGCGCCACTCAGGGGAATGACGAGCAAATAACATAAATAGGGACAACTGGAGGGATAAAGACAACTCTAGAGGTCCGGTGACATATATTGCTTATAATCAAAAAATGCCGATATAGGTTTTTAAGGATGGTGATGTTTTTAAGATATGGGGGTGGGAAATCCTGAAGATTCACAGATGACGAGAATATACAAACTGCAAACACATTTAGCACAAGCAATGCATAATAACACTGAAGCTCAGAGGAAGGCACCACACTAAAACTGGCAATACACATACTGTAGAGAGAGAGAGAGAAAAGGCAAAGTTGGTGTTTTGCCCTTTTACCTGCCTTAGAGCATTAGAGCCAAATCTCCCCAATGCCCAATAAAACCTGTTAAACCACAGCCACGTTGAAATTGACCTTTCCATACTCATATGTGTGAGAGATCAAGACAGTGATTGTGTGTGTGTTTAAGAGGAATAGATGATTATATAGACCACAAATAAGAGAGATACTGTCCATCCTTACTACCAAGGGAGCAACTAAACAACATTCAAAGAGCAATATTCACTGTCAGACTAAATCCCTGGCCAAAGACAAAACTCTGTCTTTTATAATCTGTATTAAGGACAGGGGGGTAGAAGAGACGGTGCCAGGAGGAGAGTATGAGAGAGTGTTTGGTTGATTTAATCTTTCGGTTACTCAGCCGTTTTGTCGGGCACAGCTGTTTGGTCTCCTGTCGGTGTGCCGGCGACCACCGCGCTCCGGAGCGCACCGCGCAGCGACTGCCGACCACTGAGCCGTGAGAGAACGAGAGCGCACACACACTATACACTCCCGGGAATATGATACTAATGCTGAAGGACTGTCATTTGTGCGGAAAACGGAGGCGTACAAGTGCGCACTATGTTCCCAAACCCAAAATATCTGTCAGCATTATGCTTCTTCTTCTTTGGGTTTTCTCCCGGAAATAAGTGGGTGGTGTGTTACCCGAACTGAATTGACAAAATCTCAGCGCTGTTTCGGTGTTCTGGAGCAGGACAGTGAATCGCCATCTGCGCAGACTGTTTAGCTCCAAATAAAATATAAGTAGCTTCAGTTGAGCTGTAAAAAGCAGTTGTGCGCTTTGTTTTTTTAAGTCACAAACCACGAGTTAGATATAAAAGCCCTCTAAAGAGTCATTTCAGGAAATCGGTGCATTTCATAGACGGTCATGGGGCTGCCAGTATACATGGAGGTAAAATAATAGCTTTTCTATTCGTTTTTCTTTCTATTATGAGTGCATAAATCATAATTTCACTTCTGAGGTGAGTGAGGCTCCATATGCTAAGTAGCCTATATCTCAGTTCCAAGTTCATGATTTCAAGAACGGCGAAGGGGCAGTGTATGTTTCTCCGATTTAACAATAAATCCTCTCACATAGGGCACTAATTCTCAATGAGCAGGAAACACCATGCGAAAACGATCAGTCTTTTTGCAAATTCAAAGAAAAGTTTGAATGTCATGTGTGTATAAGCTGCCGTCAGATCAGTCCTCTTCGGGGTCTCACCCGGGTCTCACCCGGGTCTCACCCGGGTCTCACCCGGGTCTCACCCGGGTCTCACCCGGGTCTCACCCGGACTGACCAGCCGGGGCTCGTGTGTCTCGGTCAGGCGCATCTGTCATTTGAAGCTTCGGTTCAAGCATTACTTATTATTCCGCACACACGCTTGGATACAGGAGGTGTCAACGTGAAAAAGGGCTAATCGATTGTCATTTGGCTAAGATTTTTTTTTAAATTGCTTCTTTTAAATTTCCGGGGCAGTGTTAACATGATGGGAGACAGACTGCGGTCACTTTATGGCAACCACGAATCTTTTTTAATTACGCAGGTGTCATGACTTTGAACAACTTTATACAACACTTTTTAGTGATGAGAATTGTCTAAGGGAGGAAAAGATGGGTACACTTTTGAGTTGGATTTACCTTAATTGAGAAAGCGCACATTGACGCACCATAACTAAGCAAAGGAAACATACCAACAATTATAATACATGCACTTCCATGCCTTTGAGACAACATAAAGTTAAACCAAAAGGAAACCGAAAGTGGGAATGACATTACCGATTTCCAGCCCCAAAATGTAAACAATGTTTCAAACGGACAGTCTTTTGCCTGATCTGCTTCTCTTACCTTTTATCAGGAAAAGAAGAAGCACCGTCTTCCAGAAGCGACATCCCACCAGCGCACCTCCCCTTCCCCTGACCGTCTCCATCCCTCCTGTCGGTAAAAACCTCCGGGACTGTTCACAAAACGGAAAAAGGGATCGTTTAGTTTGTGTAATCTTCTTCCTTTTCCCCCGGAGAGATCACTCACACCGCATCGGTGCCATCAATAATCTCAATTTGACCAAACTGCGCTCCCGCTGTGCTTGACCAGAGACACCGCGCGGATGAGGTTTGGAGTGAACTATAAATCCTTCTGGAGTCAGTCATAAAAAAGGAATTAATGGGCAATTCCGGAGAAGACTGGTTGTTGTTGTTTTCTAATCCCCCACTACCAGCAAAAAAGTCAGTTGTGTGTCTCCTTCAACATAGAGCCGAGGAATGATCCCGTTTTCCCCCGTGGTGAGCTTTCTCCATCGGTGCGCTTTAATTACACAAACGGGACAGCCGAAGCTGTGAAAAACCTCAATGCCTCTCCCTTTATCGCACTTTTCTTTCTTCCAAAGTTTAAACAGACCGGCGCAGAGGACGAAGAACTCCAACAGCCAATTAAAAAGTCCACTTCATGTGCGGTTTTGAGACAACAAAACCCAGACAACTCTGTCACTTAAGGCTCATACAAAATCCAAATTCCGCTTGCCCGGCAGCAGCTCCGTCCGCGCTCTCCTTCTTTTCCTTCCTCCCCCTGTCTGTCTATGCGACTATCCCTCTCTTGCTGTGCGTGTTATGCATGTGTGCGCGTCTGGGCTCAACTTGAGAGTCTGTATACACTCGTCCGAGGGATGGAGGGAGGAGAGGACTGAAGAGGAGGTCTGACGCCTCCACCAGCCGGCAGAGGAGGAGGGCTGAGGGGCTGAGGAGAGTGGGGGGGCGAGGGAGGGATTTGGGGATTTGAGCGACAGTTAAGCAGCCAATGGAACGTGGAGGAATTCATTTGGGCTTTTTTCACTTCTTTCATCGTTTAAAATTGATCAGATTCATTTGCAAATATTTATTCAAATATTTATTTTTTGGGGGAGTCAAAGACATTCACACCCCTACCAAAATGTTTGTTTTGAAGTATGTGTTTTCTTAAATAAAAATCTAAATTTCACAATGATAACGAGCGCTTTCAGCCAATGATTGAAAGGAAAATACCTGTGAATTAGTCTGTTGTCAAATTTCAAACAGGGAGGTTTCCCATCAGAAGAGGCCTCTTTTTCGGTATGATTGATGTATCAGGTGTGTGTGTGTGTGTGTGTGTGTGTGTGTGTGTGTGTGTGTGTGTGTGTGTGTGTGTGTGTGTGTGTGTGTGTGTGTGTGTGTGTGTGTGTGTGTGTGTGTGTTGTTTATCCTTTCAAAGCCCTTCTCTGCATTATTCATAAAAAAGACACACGCTACACCATTCACCATTCACACCATTCACTTTCTATTGATAGGACGGTGTGTGTGTGTGTGTGTGTGTGTGTGTGTGTGTGTGTGTGTGTGTGTGTGTGTGTGTGTGTGTGTGTGTGTGTGTGTGTGTGTGTGTGTGTGTGTGTGTGTGTGTGTGTGTGTGTGTGTGTGTGTGTGTGTGTGTGTGTGTGTGTGTGTGTGTGTGTGTGTGTGTGTGAGGGGGGGGGTTGTGAGTGTGTGAACAAGCCAGTAGAGAGAGAACATAGGGTCTTCTTAAAGTCCGAAACAATATTTCATAAGGCAGCCTGCCTGGTTCCCTTTGTCAGCTAAATGTGTAAAAGCTAAAGAGATGACATTGTGACTTATTGAATTGCAAATCAGTCCGTCGGCGGAGGGCTGGGAGGATTTCCGGAGACGGAGATACGTGAGCCTTGCTGACGTCTGCCTGTGGGCCTGTCTGCCTGACTCCACGGACTCTAAGAGAGGCTAAGAAGGAGCGACAGCCCCCCCTAGTGTCACAGAAGCGACACTAAGTGGTGGCACTCACAGAAGAAGACCCCTCTATACATTCATCCTTCATATGTCCTTATGTGATTGTCATTGAAGAAGGCCCATGCTTTGGTGCGTTCATCTTTAATGCATCCCACTTATTCTTCCGTCACTTCTCTCTGTTCCCCTCACTGAGATTCCAGCATGTGACCTGACTGCTCTTTTTCCCCTTGTCCTGTTTTGTTGTTCAGTCACTTTCCCAAAACACATTTGGCCTCCGCAGCCGCACGCTGACTCCTTCTATAACATCTAAGCTACCGCCATCCGTCCATATTATGGAGCAGAACTAAATCAGTATATTTTAAAATATTATTCTAATTTCCCACAATGACTTTTCCCTCAGCGAGCCGCCGCATTATGTGAGACTTAAGCTTGAAATATTTTCTTTTGTAACTGAATTATTACTCTTGGGGCTGCAACCGAAGCAAGGCTTTAGTTCAGTATTCAGTTAAAGTCATATTTGTAGAAATGTAGTGTGTGTATACACATAAGTCCCCACTGGGAAGAGATTTTGATACAGAATGAAAAATAATTGAAGATAAATCTAGGGACAAATAAACAAAGACTACATATTTCAAAGTAGGAGAAAAACATTCTGCTGGTAAAAATATAGTAAGTAACAGTAAGCTGGTTCATGTAGACATGTTCAGAATATGATCTTCAAAAAGTGAAGATGCCAACTATACTCATAACTCAGGGCAAATATGATTTAAAAATCAAGTGCTTTTAAACCTGGTTCTCAGTGGCTGGTGGCGATATGTATTGACTGCCAGCCCGACCACAGACTCTGATCTAATCCACTTTTTGATTTCAGTCCGATCCCCCAACACAACAGCGATTGGTCTGATGATGATAGGCCGATGTTTATAGAGATTGGGATAAGTCCAATGCAGCTGAAATCCCTTATTATAACAGCCCCAATTTGTATTATGTAGTTAATGGACTCTCCTTGGGGCGGTGGTGGCGAAGTCGATAGGGACTTGGCTTGGAAACCGGAAGGTCACCAGTTCAAGTCCCGGCAAGACCAAGTGCTACCGAGGTGTCCCTGAGCAAGGCACCGTTCCCCACACTGCTCCCCGGGCGCCATTCAAAATGGCAGCACACTGCTCCTAACACTAGGATGGGTCCAATGCAGAGAAACAATTTCCCCACGAGGGATTAATAAAAGTCCATCTTACTGTGAATTGAGCGGTAGCATTTCATTTTTAAGTAATTGTTATTGCAGTAAAGCAACATTTCTAAGAAAAAATGATTCCAAATCTGAAAGTAGAGTCCATGTAGATCTGCGTATGGGCAACAGGAATCAAGAAAGAGTGACTCAGGCATGACAAACACAGGCTTTAACAACCTAGGAAGCAACAGTTTTACTCCTCACTTTAAAATGCCAAGTTTTTGTCAGAGGTATCCTCAAGTCACAACAAGTGTTAGAACTCCTCTCTCCCATCACTGTCAGTCTGCATGCTGTTCTGTGCCCACCCCGAGGTGATGGTGGTCACTGCACCCGTCTCAGCTTCTCTCTCTCTATGGCTTCTCAGTGGTGAGATGCCCTTTGCACTGTGAGTCACTTCACATCTTCTGTTACTTTAACTATAAAAAAGATGAAACTTCACTCCTGCTGACACCATAGAGGCTGACACACACCCAACTGTCAACATCAACTGCATGTCTTAAAGTAGGGGAACATTCCTTCTTAAATCATCTTTTAATTATTTTCCAAAACCTTTAATAAATATCAAATAACTCTGTATAGATAATCTTTGTCTTCCAAATTAAGACAGGAAGAACATTAACCTTCAGAGACAGTATATAAGAATTGGACATAGTCACATACTGTAAAACATGAGTTTGTGTACTACGGATCTGAAGCATGGATGTATAAAGATATGTGAATATAAACCTTGGCCTCATTTACCTCTTTGGATAAATGCTGGCTGAAGAAAAGAGAAAGAGAACAATAAAACAAGAGAATAGCGCAAGAGAAGGAAAGAGGTTAAAAGACACAGAGAGCTAGGACAGAGAAATCAGCAGAAGAAAACAGAGGGAGTGTAAAATGTAAAGCAAACATGGTATGAGCTAAGACTGGTTAATGGAAAAAATATGAATAGAAGCTGGGTAGGATACAAGGATCCACAATTTAACAACTTTGTCTAAACGTTGACAGCTGTGTATTATGTGTATATGTGTACATATTGATGTGATGGATGGCAAGCTAAGAACATGATAAGTCTTTATAAGCTGGATTCCAAGTAAGCATCATGAGGTTGAAATGTCTCTAAAAGCACACCTCTACCTCCCTCAGAAAAGTAAAAGTGGTGCTTTATGATGACCTCTGACTGGAGGTTAGCAGTACTCAGCTCTGTACCACTCCACCAGAAACGGTGCATTCATTTCCAAGCACTCAGAAGCGCAAGGTGAAGTGGTCAGGCTGAGAGAAAACACTCATATGGTGATCCTTAGACACTGCATGGCTCTAAAGGTGTTTGTGTGTGAGCACATTAGAGCAAGATTATTGTTTGCCACAGTGGACATCACTTTCATCACTATACTTAACTGCTGAGTGTGAGACGATGAGATCGGGCTACGAATAGTGTTCCCCTCTCTCTGAGGTCAAATGGCTCTTGTAGAAATTCAGCAGACACCTTGTTGAGACAGAACACTTTACACTGAGGCTGCATGAAGATGACCACCACTGACAAACCTCCATATTTACTTCTAATTCCCCCACCCTCGCTCTCTTTCTATCACTTGTTCTATCCAGTCTGAAAACCATAGCCATCTCTTTGCTCAGTGGAGCAAACTGAATACATTAGAATCCAATTAAGGATGGTGAAGAGAACTGCTCAGGCTTACAGTGTGTGTGTGTGTGTGTGTGTGTGTGTGTGTGTGTGTGTGTGTGTGTGTGTGTGTGTGTGTGTGTGTGTGTGTGTGTGTGTGTGTGTGTGTGTGTGTGTGTGTGTGTGTGTGTGTGTGTGTGTGTGTGTGTGTGTGTGTGTGTGTGTGTGTGTGTGTGTGTGTGTGTGTCCTTGTGTTTGTGATCTCATGTGTACTATGATTATAAATCATAGTGTATAGTATGTCAAGCCAATGAATGAGAATGTTTTATTTTTTTGGGGGGGGGACTGCTTGTGATTCCATGTAAAACATATTGCACGGTTGCATCTTTGTGTGCGTATGTACTTATGTTTATATCTGTTGCCATGACATGTGTTGTCATAGTGCAACTATTCAGTGACATAAGCCGCCTTCCTGCACCAAGCAGTGTCTGTTGCTGTATAGCAAGACCACTGTCAGGTAAGTGTGTGTGTGTGTGTGTGTGTGTGTGTGTGTGTGTGTGTGTGTGTGTGTGTGTGTGTGTGTGTGTGTGTGTGTGTGTGTGTGTGTGTGTGTGTGTGTGTGTGTGTGTGTGTGTGTGTGTGTGTATGTGGCATGTAGCGCAGTGGGTTGTGCGTTGGTGTTCGGATCAGGGGTCACAGGTTCAACCCCACTGCAGTCAGCATGTCGTTGTGTCCCTGGGCAAGACACTTCACCCCAAATTGCTCCTGTGGGGATTGTCCTCAGTATTGAGTATGTAAGTCGCTTTGGATAAAAGCGTCAAACAAGTAACATGTAAGGGAATTAATATATGGGCTCAGAACAGTCTCATAATACACACATGCACACAGAAGGATTCAAACTTGTATTTCCGGATCCATACTTGTGTTTTTCAATGCACACACAAATGTATTCCGTTTCATATACATGTAAATAAAATCCAAATACAGAAAAAAGTTTTACATATGTATTTTTGATCCTCACTTATTAGTTTCCCGTTTAAATCCCCTGAACCTGCAAACACAAACAGCTTTCTGTGC